TCGGGGTCCGGGGGGCCCGGCTCCCCCAGGGAAGCCGCGGACAGCTCGGGGCCCAGGTCCGGGTAGAAGGCCTCGGCGCTGATGGTGGCTCCGAAGAGCTCATTTTCCGAGACCAGGCCCAGCACGGCAGCCTGGGCCAGGGACAGCACCACCACCGCATCCGTCTGGGTCCCTGAGTCCATGAAGCCCTCCATCCCTGGGCGGGGCTAGGAGGGCATCGCTGTGGGGGAGGGGAGAAGGGGGCGTTAGTGCTGCGGGCTCACTGCGGCTCAGAGGACAGACAGACACATCGCCACCAAGGGATGGGCCACCTTGGGGTGTGTCGGTCTCTGACCTCTTCCTACTCCTGCTTTTGGGAACAGGACACGTAATCACGGGGAGCAGTGACACCCTCCGTGTCTCTGCCCATCTCCGCCTCCCCGGGGGATTCTGGGTAAGCCCCGCCCCCTCGCTGGCCTCAGTCTTCCCATCTGTAAAATGGGGAGGCTGGGTTTCCGCAGCGATTTCCAAACCGTGCCTGGCGTGTCCTGCGGGAGCCCTGCAGAAAGCACACTCAAGTCTCGCAGAAATGAAAGATGCTTCTGTTTTTAAAAGCCGACTTTAGAAAAAAAACAAACCATCGACTCAATTGTACACACAGTGGGACACCCCACGCCGACCCTCCGCGGCCCCAGCGGCCTTGTTGCCAAGGCGATGCATTTCGCTCGGACCTTGGGACTTCAGTGAGGTGTTACACCACTGTCACCGCTCGCAGCGGCTTGTCCATATGAATGACGCGTTTTGGTTTTGCGGGGAATAGAGATTGGGCAAAAACAAGGCAACACACAAAAATAAATGAGGTGCCAGGGCCGACCGCAGACGGCGGCTCCCACCCATCACCCCTCATGCTCAATGACGTGTCCATCCCAGGAGTAGCAAAACGTTACACATTTAAATAGCCACATGTATACCGATGAAAATGACCGCTTTTTGCTGACTTGTGCACTGGAAATTCCACGTAAGATCCGAGTTGAAAGAAGCACCCAGCAGAGGCTGTTACAAGCCCGGGAAGGGTTGTAACTCAGGTGAAGGTGCTCAGCTCCTCGCAAAACCCTCAGCAGATGTAAAGAATCCCTTTGGGATGAAGGCACCCGCCCCCAAGTCACAGCCACACTCACCCATCTAACAGGCTCTTTAAAAAGTCAATGTGGCCCTAGCCTGTTTGGCTCAGTGGAAAAAACAAGGCAACACACAAAAATAAATGAGGTGCCAGGGCCGACCGCAGACGGCGGCTCCCACCCATCACCCCTCATGCTCAATGACGTGTCCATCCCAGGAGTAGCGAAACGTTACACATTTAAATAGCCACATGCATACCGATGAAAATGACCGCTTTTTGCTGATTTGTGCACTGGAATTCCGCGTAAGATCCGAGTTGAAAGAAGCACCCAGCAGAGGCTGTTACAAGCCCGGGAAGGGTTGTAACTCAGGTGAAGGCGCTCAGCTCCTCGCAAAACCCTCAGCAGATGTAAAAAACCCCTCTGGAATGAAGGCACCCGCCCCCAAGTCACAGCCACACTCACCCATCTAACAAGCTCTTTAAAAAGTCAATGTGGCCCTAGCCTGTTTGGCTCAGTGGATAGAGTGTCCGCCTGCGGTCCCAGGTTCAATTCCCAGTCAGGGCACATGCCTGGGTTGCGAGCTCGACCCCCAGTAGGGGGCGTGCAGGAGGCAGCCGATCCATGATTCTTTCTCATCACTGATGTTTCTCTCTCTCTCTCCCTCTCCCTTCCCCTCTGAAATCTAGTAAAAAAAAAAGTCAATGTGCCCACCAAACCCCAGGTGCATGGGCGTCCTACCTTCCCAGTACTCCCCCAGCCCCCCGGGGTGGCCCTCCCTCCCTTGGGCCCTTCTCCCACCAGCCTCCCAGGCTTCTCTCAAATTCCACCTGTTCCTGGACTTCCCCGCCCTCCCTGCCAGGCCAGTGCCCTGATATGGGAGGGCCTCCTCCAGGGCCTGAGCTCGATCCTCATGAATTAACCCCCCACCCGCTGCTCACAGCCTGGCACATGGGAGCCGGGGGGCCCGGCTCCCCCAGGGAAGCCGCGGACAGCTCGGGGCCCAGGTCCGGGTAGAAGGCCTCGGCGCTGATGGTGGCTCCGAAGAGCTCATTTTCCGAGACCAGGCCCAGCACGGCAGCCTGGGCCAGGGACAGCACCACCACCGCATCCGTCTGGGTCCCTGAGTCCATGAAGCCCTCCATCCCTGGGCGGGGCTAGGAGGGCATCGCTGTGGGGGAGGGGAGAAGGGGGCGTTAGTGCTGCGGGCTCACTGCGGCTCAGAGGACAGACAGACAGACACGCGGCCAGCAAAGGATGGGCCACCTTGGGGTGTGTCGGTCTCTGACCTCTTCCTACTCCTGCTTTTGGGAACAGGACACGTAATCACGGGGAGCAGTGACACCCTCCGTGTCTCTGCCCATCTCCGCCTCCCCGGGGGATTCTGGGTAAGCCCCGCCCCCTCGCTGGCCTCAGTCTTCCCATCTGTAAAATGGGGAGGCTGGGTTTCCGCAGCGATTTCCAAACCGTGCCTGGCGTGTCCTGCGGGAGCCCTGCAGAAAGCACACTCAAGTCTCGCAGAAATGAAAGATGCTTCTGTTTTTAAAAGCCGACTTTAGAAAAAAAACAAACCATCGACTCAATTGTACACACAGTGGGACACCCCACGCCGACCCTCCGCGGCCCCAGCGGCCTTGTTGCCAAGGCGATGCATTTCGCACGGACCTTGGGACTTCAGTGAGGTGTTACACCACTGTCACCGCTCGCAGCGGCTTGTCCATATGAATGACGCGTTTTGGTTTTGCGGGGAATAGAGATTGGGCAAAAACAAGGCAACACACAAAAATAAATGAGGTGCCAGGGCCGACCGCAGACGGCGGCTCCCACCCATCACCCCTCATGCTCAATGACGTGTCCATCCCAGGAGTAGCGAAACGTTACACATTTAAATAGCCACATGCATACCGATGAAAATGACCGCTTTTTGCTGATTTGTGCACTGGAATTCCGCGTAAGATCCGAGTTGAAAGAAGCACCCAGCAGAGGCTGTTACAAGCCCGGGAAGGGTTGTAACTCAGGTGAAGGCGCTCAGCTCCTCGCAAAACCCTCAGCAGATGTAAAAAACCCCTCTGGAATGAAGGCACCCGCCCCCAAGTCACAGCCACACTCACCCATCTAACAGGCTCTTTAAAAAGTCAATGTGGCCCTAGCCTGTTTGGCTCAGTGGATAGAGTGTCCGCCTGCGGTCCCAGGTTCAATTCCCAATCAGGGCACATGCCTGGGTTTCGAGCTCGACCCCCAGTAGGGGGCGTGCAGAAGGCAGCCCGTCCATGATTCTCTCTCATCATTGATGTTTCTTTCTCTCTCTCTCCCTCTCCCTTCCCCTCTGAAATCAATAAAAATATAGTAAAAAAAAAAAGTCAATGTGCCCACCAAACCCCAGGTGCATGGGTACCCTACCTTCCCATGGGCCCCAGCCCTGCGGTGCTCTGTGTGGCCCCGCTTTGCATGCGGGTGGGGGGAGGGCTCCCACCCTTGGGCCATCCTCCCAAACCTGCTGAGCTCCTGGCTCCTCCCACCAGCCTCCCAGGCTTCTCTCAAATTCCACCTGTTCCTGGACTTCCCCGCCCTCCCTGCCAGGCCAGTGCCCTGATATGGGAGGGCCTCCTCCAGGGCCTGAGCTCGATCCTCATGAATTAACCCCCCACCCGCTGCTCACAGCCTGGCACATGGGAGGCTCGCCATAGGAAGGAGAAGGACAATACTGCGGTGGCTCGTCCCCGCCTCGCCTGCTCCCCTCCCAGGGCCACGGTTGGCGGGTTGGCGCCAGGCCCATCAGAGGCCCTTCCTCAGGAAACAGGCTCCGGCTGGGTGTCTCCCTCCCCCCACAGGCCAGCGGAGCCTCCCCTTCCTGAAGCCACTAAAAATAAACCGCCCCAGACAGGAGCAAAGCCTCCTTGAAATGGACACTAAAGACTAAGTCCAGCGGTTCTCAACCTGTGGGTCGCGACCCCTTTGGTGGTCGAACGCCCCTTTCATA